CCAGCTAAAGGTGTCCCTGTTCACTGCAGGGAGGGTGGAGTAAATAACCTTTAAAGATCCCTTCCAGCCCAAACTATTCTCTGATTCTAATGTTTGCAAAAGCATACCAAAATGCATCACATAAAACCTGCTCAGCCTGATGATGGTTACTAGGTATAACTTTCCAGTTAGAACATGTACAAGTTCAAGCAGTGTATTTGCTTTTCATCACAGAAGCAAGCTTGCTGAAGCTTTTGTTTGCACCTAGGTAAGAATTTTGATAAACTGTTTCAGTTATTTATTTCAGTAAGCTTTTCTATGTATTTTTTTTCCCAGTCATTTTCCGGTGGTGGATATAGATTGGGTGACTCATCCCAAAAGCACTCTGAATATATATATGGAGAAAATCAAGATGTAAGTAAAATTCTGAATAGCGGGAAACAGAATCTCGAACAGATGTCTGCTTAATCGTGTTTACAGCTTGAAATGGCAGTAACTATGTCTGTGAGGAAAAACTAATAGCTAAATATTAGATATGTGTTAAGTAGAATTTGTTAAAGTGAAAGTGTCCACAGAGGATAGATTTTTACTGGGTGCCCCTAAGGCCTCCATTGTGGAATTTTCTGATGTAAATGACTTTGACATTCTTAGCAAACATTCCTTTCAGTTACCTTCCTCCAGCTTTTGTTCTGCATTCTGTTAGCAATGCTAACATTGTAATCCTCTTAGGTTAGGAATTGCTTCTTTTTGGGGTTTGCAAAGTAGCCCATCTCAAACTGGAGGGCATGGGTGTGTTCTAGGAATGGCAAAGCAGCAGGTTAGAGCCCTTTTGAAATTTGTCTGGCCTTCCCTCTCACTTAAAAAGCAGAAAGTGAGGGAGAGGGCGGGGAAAAGCAAAGTTCTCTACACTTTGTAGGTTGTGTGTCATTTTGTGGGATAGTTTTCTAACAGGAGGCCAGTTTTACTGGCTAGGGCGGCCTAGTTGTGCTGGACTGCAGGGCAGTTGCAGGAAAGAGAGGTGCAGGCTGCGCAGGTGAAAGGTTCTGGCTGGACGTCCAGGCACACGGCAAAATAAGGGAGCGAAGGAGGCTGGTTTCCAGGATGCTCAGCGTTTGAACTGGATGGAGCTGGTGTCAACTTTATGGGAGCTCAGCTGCAATAATTTGAGGAAAGAATAGTTTTTGCTATCACAGATGTATCAGCAGTAATTTGTAATTTTGTGGATTTGTTTCTCAATTTACCAACAAGAAACATTTACTGGTTTTGAAAGTAACTGGAACACTGTGACAGTCACTACACAGTCGCTGTATCGTCTGTTGTGTCAGGGGTAACAGATGAAGAGATTCTTTTTTCCTCACGTGTAAAAGTGCTCTTGAAGTAGATAGTAGTCTATAACTGTTGTTTGCTTTTTTTTAAATGATTCTAACATCTATGGTTACAGTGCAAAGCGCTGTTCTTCTTTTGCCATTTGCATTCTTGTTTGTGGTCTGCTACAAAATCTGTTAAGTATAGATCAAAAATTGTATAACTAATCTGTATGAAATTGTAATACTATATTTGTCTACTTTGCTTTTTTTTAAAATTTTTTTATTTATTTATTTTGCTTCATAGGTTCAAATTTTACTGAAACTATGGAGGAATGGCTTCAGTTTAGATGATGGCGAGTTGAGGTCCTATTCAGACCCAACAAACGCTCAGTTTCTTGAGTCTGTTAAAAGAGGGTAAGTTAAAATGGCAACTTTTTTGAGATATGTCTTTCAAGTGAAGTGAAGAAAAATGCTTTCTCCACATTCACCAGTTACTAAAAACTGCAGGCTTCTTCTCTGCCTGCACCTGCAAATTCTGTATTTGTCATCAGATGCACGGGCCGTTTAAAAATCTGGAGCACTTGGGTCCCTTCTGGTGGTTTAACTCTGAATGTTACTTGTTACAGACAGCTTTTAGTTGCACATTTTGTTAGCACATTCTAGGTTTTAACTGTCAGCTCCCTGAGTGTTTTTCTTCCTTTAGGATAAAAGCATTGGCTGTCTCTGACTTTGAAAGTGAACATTCTATGTAGCATCAACTCATATCGTACTATGTAAGGTTTTTGTGTTGCAGTTCAGAATGTAATTGGGAAACTCTTATTTCTGTAATTAAGGGAAATTCCTGTGGAACTGCAGCGACTTGTTCATGGTGGCCAGGTTAATTTGGATATGGAAGACCACCAAGAACAGGAATACGTGAAGCCTAGACTGCGATTCAAAGCTTTCAGCGGCGAAGGGCAAAAACTTGGAAGGTAAAAACCACCAGATTTTCTGGTTTGTGTTTGCATGCGATTTCAGAAGCTGGGTGTAATCAATTAGGAGGCCGTTGGAGAAGCTGAACAGATGACAAAAGCAGTATAAAACTATTCTGTGCCACAAGTCTCAGCCCTGATTTCAGAGTCACCAGTAATCATGAAGGTTTATATGTAATCTTAAGAAAAGTTAAGTCTTAGTCCTCTGTTGGAACTGCTCATAGGCTTGCTAGATGCTTTGGGCTTTGTTGTGACTATGAGATTTCTCTGCCTGCTCTTGCATATAAGTTTGCCTATATATATTTTTGTTTAACTTCAGTTGTTTTAAAAACAGGAGCGAAGGAAGCTGAAAGGTGATAGTACTGTACAAATTTCATAAGAGAATCTCTGGATAGACGAAGCAGACCCAGATAGATTGTTCCTTGTTTAGTGAGGCAACTGAGACAGAACTCAGTTATAATGCAATAGTGGCCATTAAGGGTCCAGTCTGCTCTGGCTTAGCTGCTGGGACCATCGCCAAGGGAACAGGAGATCCTCTTGCAGCAATATGGCTGATGCCTGACTTAATGTGGATGGGAAGTATTTTTGTAGGGGAGCAATGCCCATATCTCCTTCTGCAGTGAAACAGCAGAAATACCGTCCCGAGATATAACTGTGTGAACGGTCACTCATTGTAAGTCGTACAAGGCAAGTCTGTTAGCTTTAACACGGAGAAATAATTTGATAAACTGTTTGTGGTTTTTTTAATTTGATCCAAAATAAATGAGCAGTAAATTGTATCAAAATCTCTCAATTTTTACTAGGATTTGATTAAAACTTCAAATGGTGCTGCAAAAATCTATAGTAGCAGCTGGTTTTTTAAAAGCAAACCACCAGAGGAATTGTACGTTCTGCCCTAGATGAAATGATACTGCAAAGCCTGGGTTGTGGGAGAGGGGGGGCTCAATTTTTAACCTCTGACTGGAGCCCTTACTTCCTCCAATTTTCGTGTCATCTCCAACTACAGTATAAAATTCATAAATGTAGTAAAAAACCTGAAATGTAATGATTTGTTACAGCTTATATCTGGTTCTGTTTTGTTTGCTGTCCTGGTGCAAGAGTAGGCTGATGCTGTTAAAGCTCTAATGTGTATCATTCGATGGCACTGATACATAATGTGCCAAAATTCGTTCCTGTGGCTGAACGTTGCAGTCTGCTTCATCCAAAAGTGCATAATCTCTGCTCAGCTTCAGTCAGTAAGAGTAAACAGTAATGTGACCTCAACTCTGCCAATCATCAGCTTTTTCACATAACAATGTAGGCTTTATAGCGTCTTTTCCAGCTGGCTTGACATTAGCTGTGGAATTGTGAATACTTCTAGGTTTCTGTTCATGATTGCATTTATTCATGTAATATGTTTGGTTGCCAAAAAAAGGCATTACTGGTGTGCTTCTGCAAGTAATTTAATTCAAGCAATTATTCTTAACTGTTTCCTATCTATATTTCATCTTTTTAGAAATGAGGAAATGTGCTCAGTAAAGCTGAGAAGGCGGTAGCCTCTGGTAGGAGTGACATGGGGAACAATTGTATATAATAACTTCACCTGAGCACTTGCTCAGATTATTAAAGAAGACAGGTGGGGCAGAGAGGAGGTTCTGTGGAGAAGAGAGGAGGTTCTGTGTGTAAGAAAGCATACACACCTGTTGTGTGGCATTTTGGTTTGTTTTGGTAGCTGATGAAGTCTCAGGTGAACCATGAAAGCAGCAGCCAAAGGTTTTCTCCAATCAGATTTCTGTTACTTTTATACTAAATGTAAAAAATTTCACGCTTACTGTGTGGTGATATCAATTACCAGTCCATATCATTTGGGCTCTGAAAGGGTGAGCGATGCCTAGAATCGCACAGTGGTGCCCCTGAAAGCAGTTCCTGAAGCAGCTGGGGACAGTTCAGCCCCGCCGTGTTGTGACTGCTGCAGCCAAGGCTGTCACCACGCCAGATGTCACCAAGCAGGTTTCCTTGGGTCGTGAGCAGCAGCTCCATCAGTGCCTCGTTCCTGGCTGGCACGTCTAACACTCGTGTGAGGAAGCGGTCCTCTACGCCCTCCAGAGGCTTGATAGATGACATCTGAGCTGCAGTGTCGTTCTGCCAGCAAAGGTCTGGGTAGTTGAAGTCACCCGTAAGGGTCAAGTTCTGTTGACCCCCAGCTTGCCTGAGTGACTCAGTGTTGCTTCGTTGGCCTTATCGTAGAGGTTTGGAGGTCGGTAGCAGATGCCTACTGTAAGATCCCCCTTGGAGACAACCCCTCTGATTTTGACCCAGAGGCATTCGATAGGGCTTCCGCAGTTGCCGTAGTTGACTTCAACGCATCCAAGGTTCTCCTTAACACAGAGCGCGACTCCTCCACCTCTTCTTCCCTGCTTGCCTGTCTCTGCCTGTGCTCTGTAAGCATAAACAAAAATGGTTTTATTTGTTCCTGATTACCTATTTACAATCATGCAAATGTAATGATCTGCACAGTTATAACAGATATGAAAAATTGCAGTCATTGACAAGAAACTACAAAAGCATTGCTTGTGTCTCTGTTTAAATAGCTGTGTTTATACTTAGTTCAGATAACTTTGAGACAATTTTCATTGCTCATAGCTACACAATGTAGTCATTCAGTGAAAAAGACAGCTGAAACATTATTCAGTTCTCGTTTGGCTCCATTAATAACATCTGTTTTGTTTTTTTCAATCCTCTAGCCTTACGCCTGAGATAGTCAGCACACCTTCTTCCCCGGAGGAGGAGGAGAAATCCATTCTTAATGCGCCTGTTCTGATTGATGATTCCATGCCAGCAACTAAAATTCAAATTAGATTAGCTGATGGAAGCCGATTAATACAAAGGTTTAATCAAACACACAGGTAAATTGATTCTGTATCGATGCAGGTAACCGTAACTATTTCGATAAATTTGTGTTTTGGCGTTAAATGAATTCAGCAAGATGGCAAAAATGGGAAAAAATACAGCTCCAGGGAAGTGTTATAGCTCTGTGTCATTTTCATAGCATAGATGTACTGATAAATTGACTGTCAGAGCAAAATTCCGTAATTAGAAACACAAGGTGTTTGATAACTGCAGAGTCACAGACTTCCATGACCAGTTACTGCTGTGATTTGTAAGGACACGGTACCAGCCGTAACTGCTGTCAGACAGATCTGGACGACCTCGCTATGCAGTCACCCCAGCCCAGGGCCCCTCTTGGGAGGAGCACGTGGCTGCCTCAGGTGACCCTGCGAAGGCTCTTCGTTGCAGGTTTGGGGTATAGTCTCAGTTGGAATGTAGTCCACGCTACAGGCAGAGAAATGCTTTGGCCCATAATCAAGAGCTCCAGCTTTCTACCTCGTTATACTTGAGGCTGCAGCTAAACGTGACGTGGGCTGTAAGTGCAGACCGCAGCCCGTATGCAGAAGGGCGTGTGGACATAATGCATTCTGGCACGTAGGCTGGACACAATGCTGAGAACTAACCTTTCTTTTGGCTGGGGTGGTCACCTCCTAGGAACGGCAGCAGGTGAACTTGGTGGATTTCTTGGATCTGTTAGTATTTTGCTGACCAGAGCTTGCCATCAGTTTTATTGACATTGTTGGGGCATTGCCACAAACGGTGTTGGCCAACCCCATTTGTTTGCCTAAGGGGTTGTGTTAGTGCAAGGTTCTGCAAAGCTCTACTTTGCACTGTGTGGCTGAGAGAACTTTGGGCAGAGGGCAGAGATTTGGGCAGCAGTTCCACCCATGCTCCACAGCAAGTGGCGTTCAAGCCAGCCCTGCTCTGAAGTCTGCACCATAGTGTAGGTACACAGCTGAAACTCAGCCTGAACCCTGCCTTGAAGGTGGTCTCAGCGTGGACCCAGTTCCGTGTTGATACTGTTACATGGAGAGTTCACCTGTGTCCTTTTTTCCTTCTGGCTCGGAATAAGAGCAGAGCCACAGTGCAGCTTTCTTCACCTGACAGCGTACGCAGACCACAGTGAGGCAATGTTAGCTGAGGTGCCAGCAGGGAGGAAGGTACAGCAATATTTTTTCAGGTTTTAGCAGACCTGCTAGTACGGGCCCAGATCCTTTCCTCACAGGACCAGCTGGAGGAGTGACTCAGATAAACAGCAGGGCTTGTCGGGAGCCTCTGCAGCCATGATGTGTTTTGTTTTGCCTGCATGAAAGAAGGGAAGTGGTAAACTTCCCAGTAACGTCCCAGTAACCAAGGCTGTGTTGGCAGAAGCTGATTTTAATCGTTATTAGCTTTCTCTGGGATGTGGATCTTTGTAGTTATCCTTGCCATATGTATGATCAAAATCAGCTACTAAAGTGCATTGCTTGTGTCATAAGCCTTGAAGACTGATGGGACGTTGAAGTCCCTGTTTATTTGGCTACAGTAAATCTGCCTACTTATTAGTTATGCTAGATCTTCAAAGATTTATTCTCAGCGTACTGTCTCGGGAGGGAAACCTCAAGTTTCAGGGTTTTGTCTCTGAAATCGTACTTATTTTTCATCTGTGTCTTATAAAACAAAATTATTCTTGTTACACTGTTGATGGGATTGTGTTAAGAACTATTGTTCAGAAGTTCAGTGCCAAGTGAAAGTAGGGAAACCTCTTGCTATTGAAGTCTGTTAGTAATTCCCCTCTATGTTCTCGTCGCTGCCACCATATATTTTAAGATTCCTCCTGCCATTAATAATTTAACCTTTTTGGGATATACCAATTAATGGTGACATTTTTGGCAGCTGGTGTTGAAATTGCTTGACTTTCTGTGTCAAGTACCAGTTTGCAATGTACTTCTATGTTGCAAGTTTTATTTCTGTTATTTGAGAAAACGAGCAACGTTCATTTTACTTTTTCAGGCTTTTTATGTGAGAAGCAAAAAATTCTAGGCTACAACCATTAGTCATCTGGATCAAATGGAAATGTAAAATCCGTAGGACATATGAAATGGTTTAGTCTGTTAGAACGTTTTGTGTTCTCTGATCATCTTCATGTTCAGAGATTTATGTCAAAATGCAATCATACACAGTTTTCATGTCTGTGTCCTTTCCACAGGATTAAGGATATTCGAGATTTCATTATCCATTCCCGTCCAGCATTTGCAACAACTGATTTTGTTCTTGTGACTACCTTTCCAAATAAAGAGCTAACAGATGAAAGCCTGACACTACAAGAAGCAGATATACTTAACACTGTGATTCTTCAGCAGTTAAAGTAATCGTACAGTTGGTGCGGTAGAGGGACCGTGCTGTGTTGTCATACAATATGTTTCCAACAGGTGAAAAAAACGGAAGATCAGCGTCTTTTTATTCCCCCTGTTCCCCGGATCAGATTTTTGGGTTTCAAGTCTTCCAGCTATAGCATACTGTAACTTTTTTTATCTTAATTTCTCAACGTTATCCAGCCTTTTTTCAGTGTTAAAATTCAGCTTCCCTTTGTTAGTGTGTTTCAAACCACACCGTGTACTAAATGCGAAATGAGGTATGACTTTATGGCTCGTCATTGTTTTGTGGGGGGTGGGGGGAGAAGCAGAGGGGACAGACTCTTTCATACAGTTGGTCAGATTTGCACTATGGAAATGTTTTATGCTGCATTGACAAACAGCCATTTGAAAACTTGCCTGTAGGTCGTGGTTACCTTCCAAGCTGTATTAATACTGAGGTGTTTAATAGGTTGGCGGATAATTAATGCCCTAATATAATTTTTGTATATTCTGTTTGTAGTGTTTCATGGTGCTGTATAATATTTATATTCTTGTTTTTATGTCATTTCCCTGTATTGTTGCTCATAAGAGTGAATCAGTTCGGGAGATGCAAACCTCAGCTATTGCGGACTATAATAGATTGTTCTCATTTGTATTCTAGTTGTTCTACTTGTGGTGAAAATAAGTATGATTTTTTTTCTTGGAGTTAGGGAAATGAGAGAGACCACTGTCATCTGGAGAAGTGCTGTGATTTAGATGTCGTGAGGGCAGGCCTGTGGTCCCTTTGAACCCAAATATGCAGTTGAACCCTGTGCAGCTGCAAGATTCTTCACAGGATTGAACAGTTACTTAAATAACACCAAACAAAAAAACACCGAGGTGCACAAGCGCAGAACTTGTTTATGCTGTCACTTGCGTGCACAGAAGTAGACATGTCAATTGGTCGTGTCATTTTGACCTGAATTTCAGGTCTTTATATTTGGAATTTTGGCCAAAGGCATTTTGTAGTATTCAATGGGGATTTGGTTGTGCAGCTTTCACTACACTTGTTTGGAAGCTGTATAGTTAAATCCCTTAATCCTTGAAATTGTGTATTTTTTCAAATAACTTGGCCCTACGCTGCAGTATGCAGGTAGGAACCTTTATGTTCTGGACAAACTGGCTGCTGTGCTTTAGTGTTATGCAGTTTTATAGTATTTGTGACTTCCTATCAGATGAGTGGGTCATGCTCTGAAGGAGGGTAAATAGGCTCTATCTCTTGTACCAATATATGTGTTAAAAATGCTGTTTTCACTGGTTATTTTATTCTGAAAATATCGATACTTATTTATTTATGCTAAGCTTATAATTACTCAGTATATTTGATTAATCTTACTTTTTTACCTCAAAGTAGATACTTGACTGGGTCAATTTTAAACGTGCAATTGTATTTGAAGTATTTTGTTTTGTATCTGAATAGCTGCATGATTTTAATCATAATTCATTTCACGTGCTAAGTAATTAAAGTTGGAAGCTAAAAAGACCATAGGCAACACTTCTTGTTTTCTTCCCAGTTTATGTTGTGGTGAAGTGGTGATTGTGCCCAATGTTTAAGCCGAAACAGAAGGGAACAGGCAGTTACGCTGCGTATATTTTATATACTGACACTGCTCTGTGTCAGCGCAGGGCCCAAGTCGGGATTGTGATACCCATCTTGGGCAGTCTGTGGTTTCAGCATGTTTCAGTTCAGGATCTGGGTGAGGTTACATTGCTTATTACTTCTAAAGACCGTTATTAATTAAACACCAATGTATGAAGGACAGTGGTTAACTAAATTGTGGGGGGTTTTACCCTCTTTATTACACTGAAACCACAACTGCATATTACCACAATCTCTTTGTTTCAAATAGCTGGTGAATTTTAGTGTTCAGTAGCAGCTGAAGTAACTGAGGGTCCCCGTAGTTGACATTATTTTTGTCAAGCACAAAGAAAATGTGTCAATGCTCGTGTTTCAATATTTCACTGCTTCTCAGTACTTTAAAACCTATAGAATCGTCTGTCTCACGATTTTATGTCATACCTTTTATTAACATTAACTTCTCACTCGTGTAAGCTAACACGAGTTGGCACTTTGGGCACAAAACAGTTCTTTGAGTACAGACCTGGGTGGATCCGCAGTTAAGGCTGGCTACAAGTGAGAAGGGAAACTGACACAAGGGAGAAGGAACGTGGTAGAGGATGGTGATCTTTCCCTCACAGCAGAGCTTCTTGGCAAGTCCTCTTATCTTCCATGAAATACAGGTAATAATCCTGTCACTTCCTTTTGTAGGCAGCTTATGAAAGGCTCAGGCTTCATCTTTGCTTGTCTTTCCCAGAAATCCTTTATCACACAAGGCCCAAATAATCCAAAACTGAATGTTCTCTCTTAAGAAAATCTCTCCAGACCTGAATACTTGTGCTTTTTTTTTTTTTTTTTTTTTTTAAGCAAGGACACCACTCCCATCTTTATAATCATTTATTGTGGATAAACACCCAGCAGGCTTGTGGTGTTTCTCTGGATGCAGTGGGTTCCTGAAGAGATGATCTCCAGAGGTCCCTTCCAACCGCTACCGTGCTGTGATCTGAAAAGAAGCTTCGAAAACCCACAGATTGGTGCGAAGCTAAACAACAGTAGGCAGCACCTCTGATTCAGTGAGCACCTGTCACTTGGTGGACTGCAGCAATCGGATGAACTGCATCCCTAGTACAGCCAATGTCAAGTTACGAATCTGGAACCGACCGTGAAAGACACCAATAGCTGGAAAGCACTGGCCCTGGAAAGGGCTTGGATGGCAGCAGGAACCAATGCGGCAGAACTAGTTACACCCCTTTGAGCTTTACAGAGTTGACTTTGTGACTGGGAGATGATTTTAATCCGTGCGTTTGTTATTGGTGAGTTCAATCCTGTTCATGGTGCTGGTCCTGCTTCTTGAGAACTTTAGTGATGGGACCAAAAAACATCAATGGAAATGTGGAATTAGGTATCTTAAAAGGGCCCAACCCAGTTAGCTCATCAGGAAGAAAACAGAGAGATGATTTAAAGTGGGCAGTTACTTCACAGAGAGGGAAAAAGTATTACAGGGCTGGTTGGTAGAGAAAAGCGTAACGAGAATTAGAAGGTTGTACAAAGCTGGAAGCTCAGTTCAGATATTTTCAAAGAAATTAAAACTCATTTTGCAATAGTTGAACTACTGGAATGAACCAACCTTGAAAATCAATTTCTCTGTCATCTGTTTTTTTGTTCAATTCTCATTGTTTTCTGTAAGATTTCTCATTGGCTTTCTGTAAGATTTGTTTTAATAAACCAGATGTATTTGGGTTTTGCTACTGAGACAACAAGGTAAAATACAATGGCTTAGTTTTTGGAAAGCAGTTTACTTTGCCTTTGTCCAGTCATACTTACAGTTAATAAATTCTACTGTATGTTTCAATTTCAAGGCTGGAAGTGTGACGTACCTTACTGTACATCTTTGATATCTTCGTTACAGACATTCCAGAACAAGTCTGCTGAACTTCAGAGAGATGATTCACAGCACTCAGATTACAGACCAGAATTTGCCTTCTTACACTCCTTACTTGCACCTCTCCTCCTTTCGTGATGCTTTTGCTCTGTCCGTAACTGAAGAGCTCTCGGGCAGCGCATCTGAATGTTAGAGGGAAGAAACTAAGCTGAGAAAGTTTTTTTGTCTGAAACTGAGATGTGGGGAGGGCAGCTAGTTCTTTCTGTTTGCTGGGAGCTGTCTGCTCTTGAGTTAAATACGTGATCCATAAGGTACGTGTTTGGGATCTCTTTCTAGGGTGTGAGAAATAGGTGTGTTATGCTGACCTGCATTAAGGTATGCTGAGTGAGACATTCTTAACTGGAATTGAAGAAAAAAAATTCCTTTAGGGAATTACTCTGGAAGAGCTACTATTTTACATTTAAAAGTCTACCTCAATCCAAATTAATTTGGTGAGATCTTAGACCATGTAAATACTAACGAGCAAGTACTCCCAAATTGGAATACCCAGGAGTCATTTTTTCTGTATGATATTTTTAGCTGAAGTTTGAACAGAAGGAATGTCCCTTTCCCTCAATACCTGTCTTCATCCAGTTTCTTCAGCAGAAGAACCCAAGAGACACTAAACTGACACTTAACCTGGGTACATTAAGCAAGTTTGGATTGTCTTCTCACCGTGTCTCTTATCGATATCGCACTTGCCCTACTTCTATTTAATTGGTTTTAATACACGTGCCCCAAACAAACGAAATTAGGCAGTTGAAATGTTGGTATCTTCCCTGTATCCCTTCTGGTGAGCCTGTGGTGCTGGTGGGGAATTTCTGCCTGAGGACTCCAGCCCTGTGCAGTTCTGATGAGGGCAGCTCTCCTTCCTCAGGTCCACACTTCACTATGGCAAGAATTTTTTTTATTATTACGGTTATTTTTTGCTTGGTTTATTAGCAAACAACGTTTGGTTAGTCATTGTGTATTCCAGGCTGCACAAAGTTCTCCAGTGTTTTGATGTTTCACATTTAAATCTGACAATTCTTTGACACCCCCCCAAGGGACTCTTAATAATATATGAGCTTTACTCAGCTAGTGCTTTTTGTAGTCCTGTTGTTGCAGAGCTCAGCCTTTGGAATACAGTGCTGTCTGGTTTTTGTGGGGATTTTGTACTATCACACAGCCAAAATGAAGAAATAAAGCTTAGGTTGCACAATATGATGAAGATGAAGAGGTAACGGTGTCAGCAGATAAATGTGAGAAAACTAGAACCTTGAAAGGATTTTGGAAGAACTTTGGTTCTCCATGTTTCTCCTCTAACCTGCACTGACCTCTTCCACAGAGTGGTTTTTACTTGTTATTTGCTCAGCTAAACATTATCTCATGCGTGTACAGAAAGTCACTTTAAGCTCTGTATAGGGGCTTGAGCCTGCAATGCTTAATGTCTGTCTTCCTCAGCAGCTCCCCGGGGACTTGGCCTGCCGGCAGGCACAGGTGGGAATTACTCACTTGAGGTTTAATGCTCAAATCCTAAGCTTTTTGTGGCTGGTGCCATGTCTCTCAGGGTGTCTGCAATTCCTTAAACTAGTGGCTGCCTAGTTCTAGTTGCAGTCTTCAGGCCCTACTGCAGTAAAACTTGGAAAC